TCTTTCAACTTGTTGATTTCATCCAGGTTGACACCAACATTGCATAGCCTAGTCTTGAGGTATTGGGAAATTACCCAAGATTGAGCTTGTAAAGTGCATAAGGTTGCAAGAGCCAACTTGGGACTCGTCTTCTTCGGCGCCTATTGGTTGGTCAAAAAAAGGGCGGTCAAGTCCATAACCAACAAGGTTTCAAAACCCTTGTTGAAGAAAGTGTTGATAGTGACACTAGATGTATCTCCATTGGGTCTTGACTTTTTATGTTGACAAGGATCCTCAGGTCTCTTTTCTCTATGCTCTTTGTGCTTCTCTTTGCAGGAGTGGTGAAGAGGCAGCACATTAGCGTGGCCAACAATAGTGGTAGGAGTCAACTATTAAGAACTCTTTTGGACTTGAGGAGGGTTTATGGTGGGGGTGGTTGCTTGGTTATCAGTAGTCGGGTTCCCAAGAGTAGGGTTCCTAACACCCTGAGAACCTTGAGCAATAGCAACTCGGATATTCTTCCAGTCAAAGTTGAATTTTTACATCATGAATTCTACAAAAATAAAATACAAGTTAAAAATAACACAAAATATCTAAGTATATATAACTAAAGATCAAACACTTACACTCCATTTTTTCTTGAGCACTCGGTAAGATGAAGATTTTTAGGATCTCCTTTGTTTTCAAGGACAGGGGTAATTGTTTACTTATTGATAAGTTATCTTGCTCCTCTAAACTCATTGAATCTAGATGCAAAACATTGTATTTGTAAGGAGTTTGAGTCCAATAGAAAGGGAATTTTAGGGCCAATTTCTCCTGGTCCCTGAGGATTGGATCCATGAAGGCAAGACACCCCCTTCAAGGTCGACAAAAATCTCAAAGAACCCATCTTTGAAGTTTTTGTAAGGCTCAAATAAGACCTCATGTGCACGATTGATCAAGGACAACAATCTAAACAATGCATCAGGTCTGGTTTCATAGAAGTAAAAGAAGATGGTGAGATTCAGTTCTATGCTTAAGCTTTTGCAAATGAATTGAAATACTTATAAAAGAACCCAACTGTTGGGATGAAATTGTGCCAGGCTACATTAGGGATTGACAACACCCGATAGTGAAATCACCAAAGGGGAGTTGGACGTTCACAAGCTTAAAGTGGCACTCGTACATAAAAAAAAATTCCTTATCTTCGTCAACCTCTCGATATATACCTTTTCTTCCTCTAAGGGTATTTGGGCTTCCACAAGGTTCCCACACTCGAATTGTACAATGTTTGTACTCTTGAGGAAGCAGATCGACAAAGCTTCATATATAAATTTGGAGGAATACTTGAAGACTTTGTCAAAAATCTAGTCCAAGTACTCCTCTATTTTCATGATGAACCCAACTCTTGAGTTGGGAACTAACATCAAGTCCAGGTTATCCACTAAAGGAGCCACTCCATTTGGACCAACTGCCTTGTTCTTGGCCTAAACATCCTCTACAGGGTGGGGCTTCTCAACAATCGGCCTAGGGCTATCTACCCTAAAGGGAACTATTAAAGCACTAAGAGTGGTAAAAGTATAAGAGGAAGAAGGATGGAAGTTCTAGGAGGAGCAACTTGAAGAAGAAGAAGAGTCAGAAGAAGAATTAGAAATAGTGTTAACCTCCATCCCGCCTAGAAGAGGAGACCTTGTGCTATTACTAGAATAACTCATAAAATGTGGGAAAGGAGACATACCTAATTGGTACTCGAATTTTGGGTACTTTAGGAAGGCGTAGGAAGTGCTCGAAGTATTTGGAAGGCAAAGTTATAGGTGAATCCTTACGGAGGCCAAGAGACCCAATCTATAGATATGAAGGACTCCAAGAGACGAAGTGTCGCATCTCTCTAAACTATTAGATCTCTCCAAGATCAATGGTGGGAATGGATTTAGCCCTTCGCATTCTCGAGAATATTTCACATCCATGCCCTAACTTCCAAAACCTTCTTAAGGTATCTAACATGTCATTATTACACTTAATGTGACTATTGAAACGATGACATATCCAGAAGGCAACTGCAAAATTTAAGGGTAGTAAAACAAAATTTTCAAAACGTTAACAAATTGAACTTTTCTCCCAAGGGTCAAAGACTTAAGGGGCTAATGTACTGGATAGGTCTTGGGCTCCCATGCTAAGGACTTTTCGGCTCTCACTCACATATCAAAGATACCTTTATTACTTAACAAGGGTCTGGAGAGTGCTTGTCTAGACCAAATAGAGCATTCCTCTAGGCCAAAGAGTACTTGACTTGTCAGATACATTTCTCTATGATCAAACTTGATCAAAAGTAACGTTCAATTGTTATATGACAATAAAAGATCTTAAATGCACTTGAATGTTCAGCCTAATAATGGTAACATTTTCTCAACTATATATAACCTGCATTTCACCCTTAAAAGCTATACTCATTCTTGAGATTATTCTCAAACACTCTAAATATTTGTTTACTTTAACATTGGAGTCATTTTTGCATGTACAACCACAATTTGCAATCTTGAACACCGAGGACTAAGAATTGAAGACTTTGACTAAAGATCTTAAAAGAGTACTTTTCTCAACACATACAAACATTATTTGAAAATAACTATGGTAATTAATAAAGCAAATGGATTACATGTTTTAATTTAAAGATTATTATGGATTAAAATATTAATGGTCATTTAAAAAAATTGATAACTCATTAATCCCGTTAGAGAATATTAAAATTTGTCAGTTCGAGTGCTACTAAGATGTTTGAATTCCTCTCTTTAACAATTCAACTCTTACTAACAATTCAACTCTCTTTAAACAGTATATTAAATTCCTTTCTCATCAGTTCACTCCATTACAGATTTACAGCTCCTATGCATCTATCCTATATAGCCTGAGGAAATGTAACTAGTCGTAGAATATTAATAAATAGAGTAGGATAGAGTAACATACATATGCACTAACGTAGTTCTTTTCATAATTAATTCTTATAAATTCATTCATTTAAGGATTATATAATATTTTGATATTTATAATTTTAGTCCATTTGAGTTTTGATTCCTAAAATCTACTAGATATGTATATATTTTTATTCAAATGTATTTCAATCCTCAAAGACGAATAACTTAAACTAATTCTTCATCATCAATTCAAATGAGTGCAATATAAGGACATGTACCTTGATTTTCAAATTTATGCGTAAACAAATGTTAGTACATCAAGTAATAAACAAAAGACTAAAACCTAAATGAATAGAAACTATTAAAAAAGTAAAATTTTTATCCAATCCTTTTATATATATATATATATATATATAAGTTTTATATAGAAAAGATCTACTTACTTTAAGAATAAATTTTAATAAATTTATTTCATTTAATAATTTATATTATATATCACATTTAAATATTTAATTATTTAATTAATAATTTTTAATGTATGAATCAAGTATGTAAATTTTAAAAATAATTAAAAATTATGTGATAGCCTATTCTATTATATTGATTTGAATCTATAAAACAAAGTATTACATGATTTTTAAATTTATTTTTAAAATTTATAAACTTGATCTATTTATTAAAATTTTTAAATTAAATGATTAAATATTTAAAAATTTGATGTAAAACATAAATTATTTAGTAAAATAAGTTTATCAAAATTTACTATTGACTTATTAATTAATTAATATATTATATATATATATATATATCCACTTACTCCAATAAAATTAATTATTAAGATAAAGACATGCTACATAAGGAGTGGCTACAGTGGGAAAGTCAGCTCTTGGAACTAGTCCATATAGTACTCATTCCCTTCTTTTTTTAACTACTTATATATTTCTTATTTTGACTCAAAATGGTCATCATGTGAGGTATTCCATCTATCAAAGTGCACGTTGTATTTCGTAAACAAAGCAAGTCAATAATTTACTCAAATAAATAAGATAACAAAAGAATGCAGATACTAAAAAACAATGATAATAACAACAATATAGGAGCACTAGTTTTCCAAATAAATAAAAAATTATATACTAGTCTTCATAAAACAACAACAATATAGTATTATGAAATTAAAACTAGGGTGCACTAAGCTAGCATTAATTTGTTTTTATTTTTGCCACATATGCCATATTTGACTTGGAATGTACGGACCATCAACTTGTTATTTTTTGTAGTGGTATATAAGTTCTAAAATAATTAAAGAGAAAACGTCCACCAATTTTGGTGTGAATAAAGGAAGAGAGAAAAGGGAATAAAAAAATAAAAAGGAAAGAAAGTAATAAAATTGTTAAGTATAACAATGAGAAGAAACTAGAGAAAGAAAAAAAAAAAGTTAATTTATAATAATTAGTAACCCTTTCTGTCAAAAAAAAAAAATTAATAAACCTTAATTTAATTTGCGTAACTCGTCATCTCCTTCGGATTTACAATATATCTCACTCTTTTTTATAAAGATTCCATTTTTATTTAACATTATATTAACAATCCTTATGATGATTCTAACAAATTCGTATTTTAACGATATAACATCATATAATGGACGAAATTTATAAAATTAAAGCCTTATTATATAAACAATCATGCTCCAAATAATTAATATGCAAATATTCGAATATCATGAATTTGCGTATCAATATATTTCATTAAGAAGATAAAAAGTGAGAAAATATAAAAATATATTCATCATGAAAGTGAGTTAAATTCATGACATATTTTAATTAATTTATTTTTTTTATATCACAAGTATCTTCTATTATTGACAATTTGGCTAGATAAAGATAAAATCACCCTGGCAATGAAATTTTCTGCTCTATTGTTGGTTACTCAATATATTTGAATCCAAAATTATTTGTGAAATGGGAATAATCCCACGTCAACTTTAGTTTAAATCAAGAATAAATATCTTTTAATTCTAAATGATGAATATATTAGCCTATTCTATCTCTAAAACAAAGACCACATAATTATGATAATGCACATTTAAATAGCATATAAGAGTCAACTCATAAGTGGCAATATCATATTTTCAGTGTGCTCTCCATATTACTCATTCTCATGGTAATATGGGATCACTCATGATCCTCCTCTCCTTGCAACCTCTCAGCCTCATCTTTCTCCTCATTATCTTCTACATAACACTCTTCCACCTCCGGCGACCCGACAAATTCTCCGGCGCCGGTCCGGCAACCTATCCCCTCCTAGGATGTCTCATATCCTTCTACAAGAACAAGCACCGTTTGCTAGATTGGTACACCGAGTTACTATCTCAGTCCACCACCAACACCATCGTGGTTCAAAGGCTAGGAGCACGCAGAACCATTATCACTGCAAACCCACAAAACGTTGAGTACATACTCAAGACCAACTTCAACAACTTCCCCAAAGGCAAGCCCTTCACTGAGATCCTCGGTGATTTCCTCGGCCAAGGCATTTTCAACGTGGACGGGGAGCTATGGCTCGCTCAGAGAAAATTGGCGAGCCATGAGTTCTCTACCAAGTCCTTGAGGGAGTTTTTCATGCACACGTTGGAGAGGGAAGTGTGTGAGAGGCTTTTGCCTGTGCTTGAAGCCTTGTCCAATGAGAAAAAGGTGGTTGACTTGCAAGAGCTTCTAGGGAGGTTCTCGTTCAACGTGATCTGCAAGTTCACATTAGGGACTAATAGGTGCTGTTTGGACCCTTCTGTTCCCACTTGTCCCCTTGCAAGGGCTTTTGATGTGGCTGCTGAAGTCTCTGCGAGACGTGGGGCAGCACCTTTGTTCATGATCTGGAGGGTGAAGAGATGGCTGTGTGCTGGATCTGAGAGATTGCTTAAGGATGCTGTTGGGGAGGTTAAGACTCATGTCATGAGAATGATTCATGAGAGGAAGAGGAAGAGGAAGAGGAAGCAGGAGGGGGAGGAACATGGTGTGGAAGATGAGGATCTCTTGTCAAGGCTTATATGTGCTGGTCATGAGGATGAGGTGATTAGAGACATGGTGATAAGTTTCATCATGGCAGGGAGGGACACTACTTCATCAGCCATGACATGGCTCTTTTGGATACTATCACATTATTCTCATTTGGAGAGGCAGATAGTGGAAGAGGCTAAAGGGGTGTTGGATTATGAGTCATTGAAGAGTTTGAGTTTCTTGAAGGCATGTTTGTGTGAGTCCATGAGGCTGTATCCACCAGTGGCGTGGGACTCTAAGCATGCTTGTGGTGATGATGTGTTGCCAGATGGCACTGAGGTGAAGGCAGGAGATAGGGTCACATATTTTCCCTATGGAATGGGGAGAATGGAGGCCTTGTGGGGGAAGAACTGGTTTGAGTTTAGACCAGATCGGTGGTTTGAGGAATGTGGAAAGAGG